ACCTCTAGACTACTGAGTCGGTTGGCATTAAACGGTGTTAATGTCTAACTTCAACTAACCCACGAAATCGAGCACCTTCCACCATTGTGTTGAGTGAGTTACTATCTCCCAACAGACCTGGTTGAGTACCACTGGTCACAAGTTTTCGCTAGAACTCCAGGAAATACCTCTTGAAGCCAGTCACTAATGAGCATATGTTGGTTATTATCAGAACGGGGGTTTGTGGAGATTTTGGTAATTTTATAGTTGAATTCATGAGTCATTTAAAGCTAGACCATTATGTGAAACCAGGAAGCACTGAACAATTTATATGCTCAAATCAATTTTGAAAGATTTCATTTTATTTTTATTTTTTAACTGTCATAGACTAGATGAAAATCTATTTAATATTTTGGTAGTTTTGAGATAGGATAAATGTAGATGAATTTTTGGCGTGTTAGTTTTCCAGCTTATAATATATATGCTGTATCATTAATTCAACTATTATTTAATTTCACTAGTTGAAATCATGAGTCATTTGAAGCTAGACCACTATGGAAAACATGGAAGCACTGGACGGCCATTTGGTCCTAGTATGGGACTCTTCATCAGTGTGCATCCACGATAACGCCCGCCCCCACGAGATTCAAACTCTGGGCCTATCAGTTGGATGCACACCGGGTTTTCGATGGTGGTCTAGCTTCAATTGACTCATTATTTCAACTATTGAAATTACTGAAATCCACACAAAAGAACCCTTCTGATATTATTTAATTAACACTTATTGTAAATATATTCACATAGATTCATTTAAACTGTTAAAAACACTAAATGAGTTCATTCATGTGTGTAATATTAAACTATCAACTTATTTCTAACCATATAGATCAAATGAATTCATTGTTTCTAATATTATTTTATTTCCGTTATTCTAGATTTAAAATGGGTTTTTTTTTAAATTGAGATGGTTATCTGCAAACCTTTTTTTGTTATATTTCGATGTAATTTCCAACGAGAACTAACGTCACATGAACGTAGACTGTAAGTTAAATAGACATGTATAGTTGTTCTTCTTGTTTCCTCTTAACTTCCTTTACAATGAAATATAACCAGATTTTTTCAGTGATTAAGAGATTTTAACATTTTTGTATTTTAATTCTACTATGCAGATTAAGATAAATAGTATAGCAGCAGCCTCTGCATTATTAGATCTCAACATACGCAAAGAAAAAACGAATATCCTCAAATACAACACAGTGAACATCAACTGAATCACACTTGATGGAGAAACTCTGTAAAATGGGAAAGCTTTCATGTATCTGGGATGCATCATTGGTGAAAAAAGAGGATCTGATGCAGACGTAAAGGAGAGGATTGGCAAAGCAAGAGCCACATTCCTAAAATTGAACAAATATGGAACTCAAATCAACTGTCTGTCAACTAATATCAAATTCACAATCCTCAATACGAACATCAAGATAGTCCTACTATACGGAGCTAAGACTTGGAGAAGTACCACAACCACTATGAAAAAAGTACAAGTATTTATGAACAATTCTTCACATAAGATACTGAATATTCGTTGTCTGGATACCATCAGTAGCAGCCTTCTGTGGGAGATGATAAACGAGATTACAGCTGAAAAGGAAATTAGGAAAAAAACGATGGAAAGGGAGAAGACATGCATTATGGAATTCACCAAACTGTATCACAAGGCAAGCCTTAACTCTGAATCCTGATGAGAAACGAAAAAGTGGAAGGTGAAAGAACACTCTACGTCGAGAATTGGGAGAGACATGGAAAGAATGAATAGCAACTGGAAAGAATTGTCCGGGACAGAATTGGATGGAGAATGTTGGTGGGTAGCTTTTGCTCCTCCACGAGGGTTAAAAGATATAAGTAAGCATTTTGTAAAGCATGATCAAAAATCAGGAATGTAAAGTATCTATTTTGTTTTACTTTTAAATGAATTTATCTGTTATAAAATATCTATAGAAATAATATTCAGTTTTCTGGATTATATATACATATGCGGCCTATGCTTCTCCATGAGGGGTAAGTGGGCAAGCATTTTGGACCAAATAATATAGATATTTACATGCGTAAGTAAGTAATTAAGTAAGTGAGTATCCGCATTTGCATATTTGATCGATTTGTATAAACTTAGAAGATCATTGATGGTCATTATTCAATAGTTGTCTCACTTTTAAATTTCTCATTTTCATTCATTATATTTGTTCATTTGAACCCTTTGAGAATTTTTTTCGAAATTAATTTCTACTATAAACATTATAACGTACTACACTGATTGAGTAGAGATACTATCCCAGTCTGAAAGTACCTTTCATTCTAATTTGACATCAGTTTCATTGATTGATTTGGTTTTGTTTTTAATAATAAAATTAAAAATTGACAATATTTCATGCTATTCAACTGAGGCAATAGTGAAATTGTTATAGACAAAAATAAACAATACTAATTAAGTCAGAATGGGTTGTGTGGAGATTTTTAGAAATTTCACTGGTTGAAATCATGAGTCAATTGAAGCTAGACCACAATGGAAAACCTGGGAGCTCTGGATGGCCACTTCGTTGTAGTATAAGACTCCTCAGCAGTGCGAGTCCACGATCCCGCCCCCCGCGAGATTCGAACCCAGGACCTATCAGTCCTGCGCCAGGCGCTTAACCATTAAACCAATGAGCCGGCATCCAACGGTGCTGCCAGGTTCTCCATGGTGGTCTAGCTTTAATTGACTCATGATTTCAATCTGTGAAATTTCTTAAAATCTCCACAAACCCCTGCTGATAATTAATTCTAACTTTAAATAAAGTGAAAATTATTTACTGGGACTCCACAAAACTATAATGTCATATTCAGTCACATATAAGTTCTAGTCTAACGATAACACAGAGCTGTCTTCATCAATATCTTCTACATATTTTATACCTACTTTTATGATGTGTTTAATAGTCTCTAACTAAATTCTGATTGACTTGTAAATTGATGTTTTATCTTGTCTGATGATCTGCGAAAGGATATTGAATGGATATGAATATATTTTATTACGTAAATCATGCAACATAATCGATCTTATTACTTATATAAATTTCTAGCCTTCTATTCTTGTTAGTCTAGTATTTTAAATGAATCTGAACCATTCACATTCTATGCTCCGAAAAGTAATATACAAGTGGCAGAATTGCAAAAGGTAATGACTAAGATTTGTTTCCCGATTAGGAACTGAAACAAATCTTTGTTTAAATCATCTATACAAGTATTTTCAATACATCACTATACACACATTTACATAAATAAATCTTCTATACCATATTTCCACCTTTATTAAAATCTTCAATAGATTATTGCCAACAAAAACAATAGACACATTGATTTAAGCTTATGAGAATCTTCTCACCTGTTTAAATGAAGTGAATTAGTTAAAGTATTTAATCTAACGAATACTGTGTTATGTATTTAAATAGTAGTGAAACGAAAATCATGATACAATCTAAATATTATATTGACACATAGTTTTGTAAAATACAAATAAAAACAAACTGAACAGTTCTACTTCAAGCCTACTTACAAACTGTTGAGAGAAAATTGACGAGATAAGTCAATATGAATAAGGTTAATGTTTATAAAAAGGGAATATGGATTATTTTTTACACTAAACGTTAAATAATTAAAATCAGTGATTGATGTATTTATCTTATGACTTGATTGTTGCAACTGGGAAGGTAAATAACAGTAATACTTAAAAAGGTCCATTTACAGAAAACAAACATGGAACATCAAACTGACCAACTTCTATATCTGGCTTTACTAAACACAAAGAGGAATCTTATTCACTCATTGTGTTACCAAATGCATCATATATATAGTACTGAAATCATTGACGAGGAGTTTACATGACTGAAAAAGGTTATCCCATCCGTATCATAGTGAAGAACATCAAAAAGGTGTCGGAGTAGGGAATTCGGCAATTCCGTTTCAAAGAAATATGTTTATATGAATCTGGAATTTATAGGTGACTAAGCTTCTGATGTAATTAAAAATCGGTTGAGGACAACATATTCTCTTTCTATATATGAATTGAAGCCAGAGCTGGGCGTACAAAAAGTGCATCTTATCCTTATTTTGGCTTCATACTATTATTATCATACATCGTACGTGAAAATATCTCCTACTCTCATCAGTTACTTCTTATATCCCAATGGTTTTATTCATAATTGTTTCTGATATCATTTTACTTTATTTGACACCTCTATTACCTTTGATTATCGTAACAAAAACATTTTAACTATCTTACTTAATCTACATCATCATCCACTGATAACACACACACACATAAACTTTTATTATTGTTATCCACATTACATAATCTGATATTGTCATAATCTTTCGATTAAATCAACAAGTTTATTCCTTGTTCATATATGCTCACAAAACTAATACTTTAACAAATGTTTCGGATATATATATACATATTCTATTGTACAACGTGAATATAAATTTGTTATAAAAAAAGATTGAAACGGTATCTCAACTGATAACAATGATAATGACAAAAATCATGTAAAGAAGAAGAAGAAAAAAAAGAAGTAAAGAAAAAATTGACCAATCAAAAATAAGTTTTCATAAAATTGAAGATTATTATTTATTCTTTTATTTTTTTGTAAATTAAGAATGAACCAATCAAAATACACTAAATTAAACAATAAAATATAATAATAATAAGAAGAAGAAGAAGAAAACAAAAACTAATACTACTCACATATATTCTATGAGTTAAATGAATCATTTCTTTATATATTCAATGAATAGAATAAAACATGTAAAATATTTATTGAATTGTTCATTATTTAAATGTACTGGCGATCTACTTGAATATCTGAGCTACTTGTTTCTACCATCGAATTATTCTCTAATTATTCATAACTAATAAACATCATTACATCATATTAATATGTATATATGTATTAAATCAATAAATAATTATAATTATAATGAAATATTATATGTTAATGAATTTCATTAAAATGTTCATTATATATTTTAATAAATTTAATTATATTTTATTATTTATTGAATTATATATTATATTTGTAAAATGTTTACCAATAAAAGAAAATCAATTATTAATGAATCAATCATTATCTTTAACAAAATTTACTAATACTACTTATTATAATAAATTAATAACAAATGAATTGAATGATTTATGGAAAGATAATCTGACACCAGTTATTGGTAGAGTAATATGGTGTATAAATGAATCAAAACAAAAATGGTTATATTTGAATAAATTTGACAATCAAAATATTAATAATAATATTACTAATAAAAAAATTATTTTAATCAATTCTGGAAAATTCTATTGTCCACAACCTAATCAATCAGAAGATATGAAATATTGTTGTGGACCATTAGGAAAACAAATATGTTGTAAAATAACAGATACGTAAGTCATTTTAATAAATAGTAATATACATCTCTTGTTACTTTAATGAATTCAATTCATTATGGTGATTGATTGATTGATTGTAATCCTTATGGGCTTGGGGTATTTTAAATTTAAATGATCATTACATTTCAATAGACTTGATAATCTGTTACTAGAGTATTTCCAGTGAAGTATTTGTTATTCTCCATAGATAAAAAAGAACTAAATGACACGCTTTATTCGATTTTTTTGTATTTTGTTAATTACTGAATCCTAAAATTAATGAATTCAATATTAAATCTCTTAAGTAAATGTTATAAACAGTAGATGACTGAAAATTGGATATTGATTTCTATCAAACGATTTATTTACTTACTTACTTACTTTGTTACGCATGTTACTCCCAATGGAGTATAGGCTATCGATCAGTATTCTCCAACCCATTCAAACGAATAATCAATTTGATTTACTTATACATATTATAAGTGGGAACTTATAGAAACCATTTTAGAATAATTTAATTATCTAACTAATTCTTAATTTAACTAAAAATAACAAAAATCAATAGAACAATCTCATTACATGTATAATTAAAAATCAATAATTCCTTGCTTAGAATATACTTGCTAAAGTTCATACAGTAGAAGTGAAATGTTTTCAAATATATATTTAAATCTTATCAGTATGAGGATTTGTGAAGAGTGTGGTATTTTTGCTGTTAAAATAATAATTTGATCTAAGCTAGACAATCATTGAAAGCCTGGAAACATTAGACGGCTGTTTCGTTCTAGTTTAGGAATCTTCAGTAGTACGTATCCAACAGTTCAATAGATATTTTATCGGTTAAGGTGACTTTTTAATTGGTAATACCAGTATTCCTTGATAAGAAAAGTGTACATTCTATTACTACAACCTTTACAATTCGCTATACTAGTAGCAACCATATACTCACTAGTCAATCGCTTCAAGATGTAATGCCTAGAGTCCTGGTGAGAAGCAGCGACCAGTGGATTCTAGTTCGTATCAGGTTTAAGAAAATCTATGTAGCATTTTTCAAAATCATGGATTAATTGAAGTTAGACATTAACACAGTTAGATGCCACCTCAGTGGTCTAAAGGGTTAAGCATTCGCGCACGAGACCGAAGGTACTGGATTCGAGTCGCGCGTATAGGATCGTGAATTCACTCCGCTAAAAATTCTCATACTAAGACGAAATGGGCATCTAGGGTTTTCAGCTTTCAAATAAGAGTCCATTTCAGATCGACTCGTGAATTCAACTGTGAAAATTAATAATTATAATGAATATTATATTTACTGGATGATTATCATGTTTTTCGCCACTAGGACACTGTAAGATACAATGAATTCTCTAAAAGAAAATAGTGTACAATCAGCCACAGTTCCTTTCTTCAGTTATATAATATGTAATGTAACAAACTGACTTATTTTACAAGGTTTGAAAAGTTTTTTTTTTAATATTAAAAAGGGAAACCGGCGACAATAAAAACCACCTAATGAAATCCCATATTTTGCTCGATTTCTATTTTTCCATGGCGTTAACTACAAATCATTCTTTTTATAGTAGATAGTAACACCAATCCTCAAATACATAGATCATAATCACTATTCAGATGACAAAGAAGTTCATTTATCTTTTTGTGGTTGTCATTTATGTAATTAGACCATAGAAATGTATTTGTGTTTATCACTTTTCCAACCTAAAGTTATATTCTTCAGTCTTTACAAAAATAAAATGAGATCTCCAAACAAACTATAAGACAAAAGAGATGCATTAAAAATTACATGACTTTTCATATCAAAATATTATAGAAATCCTAAATTATAATATTGACAAATACTACTCATAACTAAAAGTAGTTTATAGTCAGTATTTAAAATAAAAGAAAGAAATCCAAATAATAATAACAATCAAAGTGAAACAATCAATCTCATTTTTGGTGTATAAAAAATAGATTTCTTCAATATAACAAATCTGATCCTGACGCAAATAGCATAGATTCTCAGAACTTGCTCAATAGTCAATTTGTATCATGTGATTAGCCATTGGAACTAAATTGATGAATAGATACTTTGAGTATGTAAAGTTTCTCATTTTACATTTATTTATTACAATATTTAATTTAATGAATAACGATACGTTTAAAACTTCTTTACTTCTGTCGATGTGCGTTTATATGAAGTTATGTCTTTGAGACATTAGTCCCATGAAATTTCTTTAACACAACACACAAATACTGTATTCTTTTCCCTTTAATGTATCAGAATGTTATTTTATACGTGTATTTTAAAACTAACAAATTAGTTATGAAAAAAAATGCAATCCAATTCATTTGCATCACATATGAATTCTAGTCGCTTGAATTTCACTTATGCCTGTAATATGTATTAGTTTTCTATTTATGGTTATTTTTATCGTTTACAGTAATGATAAAAACATGCTAGAAACAAGATCTTGAATCGATTGAAGTTACACATTAACATCGTTAGTGGTCTAAGGGTTAAGTGTTCGCACACGAGATTGAAGGCACTGGGTTCGAGTCTCACATGTTGGATTGTAGATGCACACTACTTAAGCATACTATACTAGGACAAAACCACCGTCCAGTGCTTCCAAGTTTTCGAAGATGATTTTGCCCAAATCGACTCAAAAATTCAATTTTTAAAAACAAGGTATCTGTTTTCACTAAAACCAAAGAAACCTTTTTGTCTATATCATATAACGCTTACCTATTCATATTAATTTATAATGTTTTATATCATTTTCTAGAAATTATTTAAACTAATGCACGATAACTGGCATTCCCCTGTGAATAATATTTTCATATTTATTTGAATCACTGGTAAAGTGATGATAAACAAAAATTGTAATGCAGACTGACAAAAATAAATGTTTTCCTAATTTAGTCAATGGCTTATATTGCATGTTTCAACGCATTAAAATGTTTCGTACTTTGTATTTTGAAATGATAATAGTCAAAAAATGTTGAAAGCAAGGAGATCCTAGACAGTTTATTCCTAATAGCATGAGATATCTCACCAGTGAGTATTTAATACCCCTATCGGGAATCTAACGCAGGCCTTCCAAACATCGTTTGGAATTTTTTTCACCTTTAAACCACCGAGTTGGCACCCAGCGGTTAATATACTAACGTTATTCACTTCACAGTTATTATATCAACTTATGCACTATATTCCAATGTCGTTTGTGTGTAACTGCATTAGATCTGAGTTCGCTGAATTTCACTTGTCAGTCAGCTTTTGTAATTAATCAATAATAAGTACATGATTTTCAGTAGAGTCAGTTCATGATGTAAAGCGTAAACTCCGAAAGTCTTCACAACACCATCGTATCAATGTTGATAAATCTAAGTTGAAAGGAAAAGAATACGATTTATAAGGGGGAATTTATCTAGAAAAACATCATATGAAAATTTATATGAGTTCCACATAATTAAAATTATATCACAGATAAAACGTTACAAGTTTATCATAAACTCAGTAATATGATAAGACAATTAATTTCTCGTCTGAACTTTCGACCACTTGAAGTGTATATTTTTCTGATTAGATCATAGAAACGACAAATGAACTGAATCAAAGTAAAGTTACATGGACCATTAACAACTATCCATTCTACCTGTTGTTTCAGCAGCTCTCCTGAAGCTAGTCTTTGTTGTCCAACCTGATTCGAATCTTTTGCACTGATTCCAAGCACCTCCAGGTTGCATTTTTTCATTTCTGTAGCAACTTGGATGACTATCCCGGTCTCCCACATTGTACGAACATTTCGTGTATCTAAATTAACAGTTGCTCTGGTTGTCAGAGGAGGCATCAGCCTCGTGACTTCCGAAGGAACTCTGCTTTCATCATAAGACGTCATAACTCTTCTAAATGAAGACCTTTCAACTCTCCGGGCAGATTTGAAATGGTTTGAATTATTTTTTCTGGTTAGCGTTTCTTTAGAGAGTTAGTTTTCTATAGTATGGGTTCGCTAACCCTATCCCCAACACTCCTCGTATATCCGGGCTTGGGAATGACAGTAGACCCAGAGATGCTCCAAGCGAAGTTACCTGTTATTTAAGAGTACAATTTTCTAGATCGTCTCGACTTATTATTTGTTATGTAAGCCACTAACATCAATAACCTCTTGATCTCTGTAGTTGGATTTTTAAAATCATAACAATTAAATTCGATCATTTTTTAAAAGAAAAAGGAAAGACGTTTTATCATATTTTTTCTCTCTATACTGTGAATGACTTTGATCTGACATACACAATTGGATTAAGAAATTTTGGACGTCATTAGATTGAATTGATAAGTCTAATTTGTATAACGTGAAAATTATTTAGTCTGGATAAGTGTAGTAGCTTTGCTTCGTTAATCAATCACCCTTGTAACCGTTGTTATATACATTTCAACGGTGTTTGGAATCAGAAGGCAATGATAAGCGGCAACTACAGTTTATTAGCAGATAGCGCACACCAAAGTTCTGGGCACTTCAGGCGAATTTGAAGCAGAGAGGTAATTATGTATATGCGATCAATTACATAGGCAAATTTATAGTCAAATCGCATAAAGGCACAGCAAGGCTAAGCAAAATTTAATGATAGGATTTGAGTACATATTTACATGGGGAGGAGAATGAATCACCCAGTGATATTTAAGCAATCAACATTTTAGCTAGATCCTATCATGTGATCTAGTGATCATAACGGTACAAAGAAATAGACGAATTGTTACTGTTCAATTAACATTCTCTGTTAAGTAAGTTATTTAATTGAGGTTAAACAAAACAACCCATAATCGAAATTGGTTACAGAATAGTTGCTATATAAGATTCTGTTTCATTTTCAATAGGAAGAATTCAACCATGTAATAATATATTTTAGTCACAATTGATTGATCACTGGTTGGTGATCAATGTCATGTTTGTCGAGTCCTTCCTAGTCCAGATCCAATGCTATCAACCAAGTTGCAATGTGGCCACTAGTCTAGA